TGGGCCCTGTTGCGCTGTGTGGACTCTGTTGCGCTCTGTGAGCGCTGTGTCCGCGCAGGATCACTGCGTCTGATAACAACGCCACGCCGACGGGCCACCAGCGGGACCAAGTGGCTCTAATGATGTCATCAATCGTAGCATCAGAAACGCAGTCACCCGAAGCATTTGATGAGAATAACCCAAACCACGCACAACCCCAGCCATGAGACCACTACACAAGTGCCGGCAAATTGTAGCGGTCAGAAGGTGATTTGACATTGTTTTTGTTGCTTTGTGGCAAGCGCACTGCTTAGCAAAAGGCCCGCATGTTCACGTCAGTCAGGTATGTGCCGGGATCTCGCTCACGCTGGCCTGTCGTGCTCTTCGCCGCCGAGCGGTCCGCTGAGTCTTGACACCAGACTCGAGCCAGCGTGGAGTTAATGACTCGCCGAGCACGAGTCTGCATGCGGGGCGTGGGAGGTCACTATGGCCGGCTCACCGTCGTCAGCACAGCTGCGACCGGCACCGCGCCGCCTGACCGCCAGAGCCGCTGATGACGCCGATAGACGGCGGCCGTGGTATGCACCAGGTGTGGATTTGACGACGGGCAGAGACGTGCTTCATGAGCTTTGGCAATGTGACTGGGGACGGATGCATTAAGATTTCTAACTCAGCTCTTCCCGCACGATGCTCACGGACCCAGCTTAGACCTTGAGACATCGGTGGGGTTTTCACTTGAAAACATGGCTGGATTGCGGGGCTTGAGCTTCGAAAGCTCGCGGAACATTCCACGCTTGTCTGTGCTACCAAATTAAACTAGCACCTATTTCGGACCAACTTCACATCCGCACGCATTTCGACGCAGAAGCCTGCGGCCGACGCGCCGGTGCGATGTGAGCGGTTCGGAGGCAGCGCGGGGTCAGCTCCCCCTCCCCCCTTCCCCCCGCCGGTGCGATGCGAGCGGTTCGGAGGCAGCGCGGGGTCAGCTCCCTTCCCCCTTCCCCCGCCGGTGCGATGTGAGCGGTTCGGAGGCAGCGCGGGGTCAGCTCCCCTTCCCCCCTCCCCCCGCCGGGGGCGGCGGGCCGGGCGGGACCGGTTTGGAGCGGCGTCCTGGCGCGGCGGCCCGCGCGAGAGGCACATAATCTGACGGCGGCGGGGCTGAGAGCATGCGCCGGCTGTCGCAGTGGAGTTAGGTTCTCCTGCGCGGCCGACGGCAGCCTCTCCAGCTGCTTGGTGAGGACTGGAGGGCGATGGTATGACCGCCGCCTCCGCAGGCCGATGTTGTAGGAGGGTATGAGGTATGTGACATGCCGTGATGTTATTGGTAGATGCTTTGCGAGGAACATTACCTGTTGTTCATTTTCATTTCCGTCTCTCGACGCATTCATACTGTCTCGAGTGCCTCGACGTATGAATCACCGCTGGACACAGAATCACACGTATCAGCTGCATGTTACACGCAACTGGCGTCGGTGCACTCGCCCAGACCTGCGTCGACACGCTCACTGTTGAGGTCACGTACGCAGCAAACACTTCCACCGCCATGTCGCCTTCGGCAATGTCCGAGACAGCTGACCCATGCCCCGAAGTGGGATGCCAGTCAACCACGAGCATCCTTGCAACATGTCCGGATGTCAGCTGTCATGATGGGCGTTCCGGCTCGTTACGACACTTATGTTCCGGCACATTCCAGAACGCATAGAGGTGTGGGCTGATGCACCAAGCATGCTACTGCCATGGGCGTCAGCGTATAAACCACCTCGGGCGATTGCAGCAAAGGGAATAGAATCAGTCAGTAGTGAGTATCGAACCCATGCCCTCATTGGTTGCAACGCGACCACGGGATGCCAATGTACAGCTTTAAAGTGCGCTTTCCTCGTAAGATGGTTTGTGCCAGTCACCCTTCGAGCACGTGCCGAGCTCGGTACGGCCCCACCTGGCCGTCAGTCGGCGGTTACTTCAAGAACGCCGGGGTCATGACCTCGAGGTCAGCGGTGTCATCAATCGGCCAGGCTCGGTACCGGAAGCCACACCATCGCTGATTTCACCCAACTGACGGCAGCACTGATGCCGATTCGAAGGAATACACTTGCTTTCCTCCCGATTCCCTCCCTCTCTCTCACTCTCTCTCCTCCTTTCCTCCTCCCTCCTCCTCTCTCTCCCTTCACTTAGGCTCGTCTCTCTCTCTTCTCTTCATCCTCTGGTTCTCTCTCTCTCTCTCTGTCTCGCTCGTCTCTCTCTCCTCTTATCTCGTACATCTCTCTCTCTCTCTCTCTATTCTTCCTCTCTCTCTCTCTGCTCTCTTCTCTCTCCTTCTCTCTCTTCTTCCTGTACCTCTCTCCCTCTCTTTCTCTCTCTCCCTCTCTCTCCCTCTCCGTTCTCCCCTCTCCCTCTCTCCTCTCTTTCTCTCTTTCTTCCGCTCCCTTCTCCCCTCTCTCTTCCTCTCTTTCTTCCTCTCCTTTTTCCCCTCTCCCTTCTCCCCCCTTTCTCTACTTTTTTTCTCTATCCTCTCCCTCTCCCTCTCCCCTCTCTCTCACTTTCCCCTCTCCTCTCTCTCTCTCTCTCTCTCTCTCTCTCTCTCTCTCTCTCTCTCTCTCTCTCTCTCTCTCTCTCTCTCTCTCGCAGCATATTCAACGTGCATGCGACGAGTCATCGAACTGTTTTCAAATTGTGCCGCACCAACTCGTCGAGCACAAACGGCTTGGGTTTCTCGATTTAATATTTTCATCAATTGTCTGAAAATTTAGACGTCATGTGACATTGAGGTAGTACCGATCCGTAAATTGTATGTTGCGATTGATAAACGAGTTAGTAGCAGTTGCGACTAATTAAGATGGCCGCTGGGTGATGAATGCATGACAGGAGGGCAGAGCAAATGTGGAGATCCATATCAATAGAAGATGGGACATAGTTAGACAAACCAAAAACGACGTTTGCTACAAAAGTATTGGTTTTGCTGTCATTCGCGCGGTGTATTACATTGTCTGCATTGTCTGCAATACATTGTCACCCATACATAGTCGTGCCAATACCACACTAAGTGTAATGGTTGTGTGGTGAGTTGGCGAAGTAAGAAGTGCAGTAGCTGCGGCGACTCCTTTTGTTCTACCGTTTTAACGTGCTGGCTGTTGAGGCTTTTCCCAGCTGACGTCGGCTAAGTGGCTTGTTTTCGGCGCCGCCCGGTGGGACCGGCGCCACAGTAATCACCTTTTCTCGGCTTTGACTCACTGCAGATACCCTTGCGGTCACCTAGATCTACACCCGACAGTCGACTTATGGCAGCTGCCGCCTTGTATATTTCACACAGGGAGGCCCATGCCGAGGAACGGAAGTGCCAATGACGTCGACTGAGCTGCGCATAGCGCAAAACAATCAGACATGATCCAACAAGAAATGATCTCACACGCAGCATCAGCTGCAATGCATCCATTCCAAAGCCACAACTTTGGGCGGGTAGCAGGGGCGTAGCCAGGATTCACTTATGGGAGGCGGGGTGAGGAGCTCGGTGACAACGCATCACGCCGATATGTTGCTCCTTTATCAGAAGCCATCTATCGTAAAAATCTTCAAATGTGGGCCTGGATGGAAATTGGGGATAGTTTTGTCGGCGACGCCCCCGGCGGACAGCAGCGCATGCCAGTCCAACTGTTGATGGATAGTTGGGCCTGACAGTGGGTGGGTCCACAAACAGGGGCGTGCCAGCGTCCACATCACAGCATCGTGTGTCGCTACAGTGTCATGTGTCATGTAACATGTGTCATGTGACGTCGGCGTCTGGGAGCAGCCGAAGCTCCTGGCGGTAGCGCCGGTTACATGTTAGGCGCCGGTTACTGCCAAGCCTGTCGGTGGTGTTGTTGCTTGCACAACATTTTGTAGCATAACAGTCATGGGGTAATGATTTTATTCGCACTATCGCAATGAGTCCAAGATTCGGTACATCTGTTGACAGGCGCCGTTCGTAGCCCCTGTCTCGTGCATTTGGCAACTACAGACCGGGCTCATGCACCTGCCATGATGAGGGCCGGAGCGAAGGCCATCTCCTTCATCTAGGCAGATATCCAAAACATATGTTACGATTGTGCACATGTGTCTCGCAATGGCCAATGGCTATCTCAGTGCAAATAACTCTTCCCATTTAAAGGCCTGCAGGGGATGTGTTATGTGTCAACACACATCAAACGTTCCACTTCGGGGCTTACTGCGTGGTGTGTCTTGTCTAGGTAGGTGTGGCCAGCACACCAGGTGTGACCATGGCTAGCTCAACCGGCTTGTTGGCCTGGAATGGTCACGGCTACACCCGGTGTGCTGGCCAGAGATAATCCTGGCCACACCCGATGTGCTGGTCAGGGCTAGTCATGGCCACACCCGGTGTGCTGGTCAGGGCTAGGTCATGGCCACACCCGGTGTGCTGGTCAGGGCTGGTCATGGCCACACGCGGTGTGCTGGTCAGGGCTGGTCATGGCCACACCCGATGTGCTGGTCAGGGCTAGTCATGGCCACACCCGGTGTGCTGGTCAGGGCTAGTCATGGCCACACCCGGTGTGCTGGTCAGGGCTAGTCATGGCCACACCCGGTGTGCTGGTCAGGGCTAGTCATGGCCACACCCGGTGTGCTGGTCAGGGCTAGTCATGGCCATACCCGATGTGCTGACAAGGGCTAGTCATGGCCACATCCATTGTGCTGGCTATGGGCATGGTTTTGCAAGACCAATTGAAGGAGGCTTTTGCTCTGGGCCGATGTACTAAGGGTGCCCCACTTACGGTCCATTCCTTCTCGGGTTTGAACGACTTGATTCACTCATCAGAATCAACCAAATATTGTAGCATAATGTTTTGCTCGATTATTTATAGTTCCGTGCGCATGAAAGAAAGGATGTGGGTAGACTGTCTGTCCCGTTTGGGGCGCGGGGGGGGGGAGATTGAGCTACAAGTTAGGGGTCCAAGTCCCACTGTATAAAACATCGACACCCCAGGCAATGTCTGTTGTTGCAAGGCGATTTTCGCGGCGAGGTTATCACATACCAAAGTCACGACGGCGTCGAGTTCGCTCGGAGATCTGCGGGTGTGTCACCGGCTTCCGCTGTGCCTCCCACCACCGCCGCGTGATTCCGGGGACTCTCGACGCGCCCGCCGCAGTCCCCACCGATGGAAACCGTGGGATCTGTACCACCCACCACCGCACCAGCCGCCGGACCACTGACGGAGAACATCACAGCCCGCGGCGCTCCCAGCTGAGCTGCGGCAGAGACATCTACCGACGGAGAGGTAAGCGGGGTAGCTGAGCGCGGCGAACACTGACGGACATCTAGCGGGTGAGGATGCAACCAAGAGTTCGGTGGTGGTAACGGTACCTGCCGGTTGGCTTAAAACCTTAGCTTCTCCCAGTATCCACTAGAGGCGGAGCGGACCAGCGGCACTCCAATGGTGTGTGGTCGCGCGGACCATGCGCTGCCATTGTCACTGTCGAGCGATGAACTCGCTGCTTACCGCGCCAGACCTGATATATATATATATATATATATATATATATATATATATATATATATATGTCAAAGAAAAATTAAGAAAATAGGAAAAACTCTTTCTTATAAGAAGCAGCCAAGAGAAACCCGACAAACTAACATTTGCCTATGTAGTGTATGAGTTCAGAATCATTACCGAAGTTGCAAACTTCGTTCCATACACTACATTGGTGTGATGGCAACGACACTCTCACGACGCCTGACAATGCACTTACGTGACGGGACACCTCTGGATCACTTTCGACATGAACAAAACAAGACACTGACACGACAGCGACTGACGGACAACACTGACATTCTTCAGATGTGCAATGACAGAAAACGAATTCAAATTTGGACACTTTGGAAAAGTATATTCATAAGCGAACTCCTTCCATCCCTAAACAGACAAACAAGTTCTTGCACAACCCTTGAGTTATTTCGGTGATGGGTGGTAAGTACCAAAGATCTGGTTGTGGCAATGTGCTCGTGTTTTTGCAGTGTGTTCAATATTGGTTTATATGCATTAAAGTAATGAACGGATTTTGCATTGCTTCAATTGACATGAAACAGGTGTGACTGACTATTGGTAGAGGTTACACAGAGGTCAAATTATAGAGGTCAGGTCAGCATAGCATAGCAATGCGGTAGGACGGCGTCGAATAGCTTAAGTCTTTCAGATAGGCACTGGGGCTCATTGACAGATCTGACCTGTAACAAGTTATATCTGGTTATAGAGGTAAAGGTACTGCAGCTTTGGCTCGTCTGGAAATATCGGAGACTTACTTCTAAAACGAACAATATGTGACAGCATAGTCTGGGTCCTATGATGTTGAAAAGGTCAAGTCAGGTCGCAAAGGCCAAAGTTTGAGTTGGCTTCGCCGAGGATGATCAGACCTGGTGAAGGCATCCAATGCGATAGTGACCCATTTGAGGTTGATGCGGTTCAGAGAAATAATCTAGACATATCTATTGGGAGTGCGTTTCCTGTGACGACTAAGCGTGATTGCCAGTGATGATTGCGTCATCTTCTGCGCTCAACCTCTAGCGCAGACTCCGATGCCACAGAGGCCACACAGCATGATCTCCGCAAAGGTTTATTGGCCCCAGCCAACACAAGAACAACATCGATACATACGCGATGAAGACAGAGAACCCTGAAAACGCTCGCCACGTTCGACCACGTTCGACCTCGCCACGTTCGACCACGAGGTCAAGGTCAAGGACAGGGCCACTAAATTCAAGGTGGCCGACAGCAATTGAATACAGCCGACATGCTCGCGAGGAAGTGATCGCAGACTAGGCACAGTTTTGACCACAAACATCAGGGATTACAGCCTGTGAGAAAATCATGCAATTTAGTTTTCCATATTTTAGCGACGCATTCCGAAAGCTATTCCAAAAATCTGATGCGGCGTTTCCGTTCTTTCGGTGATAAGTTTTGAGGATGTGTGCGGAGCCTGAGGTGGGACAACCTCCATGGGCCCCTGTGGCTCATTATTGGTCAGATATCTTCATGCCTTTATGTTTCTGTGAGGTGTCTCTTGCGGGACAATGGATTGCGGGTACGCATGCACTAGTCCGTGCTTTCTGACCTTCCTGGCCATTTTGACCCATAGCGATCGCTTCGTGCACAGCGGCCGGACACGCATTAAGCTCGGGCTGAACGCAGGAGATGAACGCTAGACGTTCAAGCTGGGTTGTGAGCATACGCGACTGAGGATCATACAATTATCACCTGGCCTCACGAAGCATCTAAGTTTCGGTGCAAAAGAGCACGCGGCAACCACGAACACTGTGATAAGTTAGAGAGAAGACTGATAGCGCGTCAGTTCAGGAGAGTTAATTTCTTTTTGTGGTGAGTTTAGATCAGAATTTGATATTTTGCATTTTAGCAAAACACATGCGTTTATTCTGGGCGCCATGGCAACGCGTTCCTCTCGTCCTCGTAAGGAGCCATGGCAACGCGTTCCTCTCGTCCTCATAAGGAGCCATGGAAACGGTCCATGGCCTCATAATACAATGTCATGCTGGTTGTCCACTAACAGCGTATTCAGAAAGCTACATTTGGCTTCGTTTATGAAAAACATCTGAATGCATGCATTTTTTGATAAATGAGTACACCTAAAGCAGGGCAAGGGCACCTATGAAACTTCAGGACGAAAAAGAGGATACTGACAGCGCAGTGCAGATTACAGTGCAGATTAGTCCTTTCATTTTCGAAATATGTCAGTGATTGACATTATCCATGTCCAAAAAATGCATTGCCCAATATGCGCGCCGGAGCGGCGATTCACTGCATGTGTCTCACGGTGCCAGCATGTAGGCCTACGATCACCCTGTCCCACTTTTAGCGCATTCAGAATGCCCAAGGTTGGCGTTGCGTGCGAAAAGCTACGAATGCTGTTCTTACAGACTTTTTTGACATCCCAAGCTCAAATTCGCTTTCAGCTATGACCTTTTTTCTGGTATTTTAATTGCCGTAAGAGTCTCTTAATTCCAGAATTTTGTAATAAGAGCTTTCTATCAATAAAGTATGGTACCAGCACCGTTTCAACCGCCCTTGCGTCAAATTTGCTGCTGTGATCTTAGCTTCAAAGCAGGGGTAGTTTTCTATTCAGCTGAAAGGGGCTCAGACTCTCCTCTCCCTCAACTTGGGCTTCAACCCCCCAACTTTGGGAATCCAATGGGCAGAATCTGGGGTTTTCCGGAAGTTCTTATCTTTAAAAGGGACATTCTCTTGCATCCAAATAACCTTTATTTGCGACATTTTGGGGCTAAGAACAGGGTCCCTCGCAGAATTTTGACCCTCAGTGGACTCTTGACCCTTAGAAGAGGCGTAGCCACGATTTGACCAGGGGGGGAGGGGGAGGGGCAAATCGGGTGATACGGGTCCTTGCGGTTAAGGAGCTCCTTCGTCCCTCTGATTTTCGGGTCGTGCCTTTCTCCGAGAGTCTTGACATGAAAACAGCCCTCTGCTCGGATGCAGGCGTCTTAAGACGACCTTTATTGGAATGGATATCTCATAGAAATAGGCTCCGGTTTTTAAAATTCCTAACTTTATTTTCTAAAGGATTCTAACTTGATGGTCGGGAACCGTTTTTATGTTTAAGACGCCCTATGGGTGTCTTAAACTGCAAAAAGTAGCGAACGAACGCCGCGACTTCCCGGGGGGGGGGGGGGATAGTGGCTTCAAAAGTCTGCCCCCCCCCTCATTACTTGCCCTGCTGAGCCTCTCCAAGTTTAGAGCACAAAAATCAATTGAGTCCGTTCCGTGATTCATACGAGCATGGGTAACAGTGAACGGCAAAAAGGGATGGTCGCAAGGGGCTCAGTCTCATGACACGGAACAGCTGAAGGTACGGCGCCCGCTCTGAAACAAATTCAGGCCGCGCACCTGCTCCCATCATGCAAAGGTTTATCCGTTCTCACTGCTGGTTTGCCTTCCTGTCAAACATCTGAGAAACGATGTCAAAGGCTTGTTGGATTTCCTGACAGTAATCGAATCTCCTTTCGAGAAGAATGACCTCCTCTTTGTCTGCACGCGTTGAACCACCTCACCAAATACAGCGCCACGACCAGGTGCTAAAGCTTTCAGGACCCCTTAAATTAACTTAGCATGGTCATTGCGCCGTATGAGAAACTTCCAGTATCGGTATCCGACCACCTACGGCGCCAAAAGCGCCAAATTTGCCAGGTCTCTGGCCATGGAAGCTTCATTTTCGGAGCAGCCCGCAGATAAGAGTCGTGGTTAGGTTTTCAACAACGGGAGATAACAGTAATTATGCACATACGTCTCGCCAAAGCCAAACATATTGCTTGGAAGAATACACTGCTCTTATTTATTACCTGCATTTGGAACTGGGTGCCTATTTTTGTGGATTGCGTACGCGAAATGAATAAATAAATGAATATTTAAAAAGCGCAAATTTCCGGCGTTCCTGTTACCGTCTGGGCAGCCAAAGTCGTGTTCGTTTAAAACCCTGCCGTTCCGTTGATCTCTTTTGGCGCCCGATGGTGAAATCTCCGCTACCGCTAGGCAGCCAGCCACCGATGCATACAATATTCCGTAAAGCAGCCGAACAAAGCAAACGCGTCCTGTTCTCTAGCATATACATCTCTGCCTTCAGATGTACTCGGGACCTGCTGAGCACCGCCCGCCGGTTTGCAGTGTTCGCCGCGTGGCCGACGTCAGCGCCCGGGGCCGACCCCCCCCCCCCGGGACGCATTGTTCGTGGCGCTGCGTGCTTTATACCAACACCCAGCGGAGCCGAAGCCTTCATTCTGTGAATACACACGCGGGGCGGCATGTCCCACGTCCCTTGTCCCTTGTCCCTTGATGTCCCTTGAAGCTGCCATGCCAGCCACATTGAGTTGAGGTGGCTGGTGGGTGGGCGATCCCGGGCGCTGGTGCTGGCTGGACTCTGGTATATTTCTATTTTTCTTGAAACGCAATGTCATCATTTCTTTCTTCCCATCCTTTCCTTCATGCGATGGGAAGGAAGAAATGCCAGGAGCAGAAACGCAGAAAATGCACAACAAGCAGAGGCGCGCGAGAAATATAGACGCTTGATCGGGGTTTATAAGGACCAGAAACTTGCCTCGAACTGAGTCAGACTTCTTCTGTGTGCTAGGTAAGCGCTACTAAATTTACGGCCATGTAGCAGACACGTCATCATCATA